AAAAAAATTTTTTTTTTTTGAGGGGGGGGGGGGGTAATGAAAGTGTTCCAAAATACAACAATAATTTCTTAACGACCTAATATAATGCACTCATTTATTAACTAGTAATTAAACAAAAAAAACCTTTGCAAGTGTATTTACCCTAGTTGCAGTTAAAGTTTGTTGCATAAATGTATAAGTATAAAATTCTTAATTTAGTGTAATGACTTTCTTCCTTTTATTATTGTTTAGTTGCATACATCATATCATTGTTTCTTCATCAATCTCTCTCACCTTTGTCCCTCATGTAGTGAATCTCATCAAACACCACCCATCCTACTTCCCTCATCACTTCAGAACCTCTATACAGCATACTACGCAAGATCTAAAGTAAAATTAATATGAAATATTGTAACTCTTGTTGTTTCATTATGTACAGTTTGGTACAAAAATCAGTTATGTATTTAAGTAGAAATATCAACTGAATCACAGTCACATAATATAGTACAAAATATAAAAAGTCAGTTATCTTTACCATGACTAAGCTATTCCTTTTGGTTTTGTCAAAAATCATACGGTTTAGTTCGACTTCTACTCCTTCTATTTAACATTTGCAAATTTTGTAACATTATGCAAGTCACATTTCTGTCAAAAGGTAAGTAATATACAACATTATTAAAATCTCCAGGGTAACCACTACTTGTTAATATGTACAATTTTTACTTAATTTCCACACTGTACTCCCATCTTTTACATTTTCTGATAGAACTCAGCAAGGTGGGGAGAAGGGTAAATGACATAAGGAAAATAATATCTTTGAATTTCAATTGATCTCTATAACAATAATGTAAATTATAATATCATACCTCTATTATGAGTTAAGCTAGAATCTCAACACTCAAATTGGAATGAAACTGGAAGAAGCAGAGATAATCACCTTTGGTGAAAAGTAACAGCAGTGGACTTTTTTTTTTAAGACCTTTCCAAAACAGGTATGCAAAATGTAAAGAAAACAAATAGCCTTCTTTCTCTGAATCCCGTATTGTCAATTTTGCCAGAAGACTGTACTTCAATGTCACTTGTATAAAATGTAATACAATAACAGCCTGTAGAAATGTTTTTTTCTGATAGCTAGCTTCTCAACTGTCCACACTATTGAGTTCTTAGTAAATTACCAATATACAACTCCCTCTTTTTTTTTAATATACGTGCTTTATATAATCTTATAATTTTCATGTGCATAAGGTGTACGGACATCAGACTGATAAACTATGGTGAGGTGAGTGCCCACTTCAGGAGAGACTAGGTTAAATATTGCTTTATAAAACACTTCAACACAGAGAAACTCAAACTATAAGAATGTACATAAAAACATGCTTCAGATAAGACTTGGAGCTAAAGGGGACAAATTGATGTGATGAAGTGGGTATAACTTCACACTTACTCTCAGAAAATTCTACACAGGTAGAAAAACATGTGTAGCTACAAGCCATGGTGAGAAACCTGTGGAAGGAATCCCAGGAAATAAAACAAACATAGTTAGAAACATCCTCTCACCCAAAGCTATCATGACCTTGATTTGCCCTCTAAGTATTGCTAAAATTTTCAACAGCACACAGTCTATTATACCCTTTCATTTTTGCACCATTGCAACAACATGTGCTGATCATGTGACTACCATCCACTAATAATACTGTACTATCTATACTAACATAGATAGCTCCCTCTACCATTGCAGCACAATCCTCACTTTAGAAAATTGGCAGATAAAACCAGAAACACCGGTAAATCAGTGGGGAGGAAGGGTGAGAGGTAAGTACCTATCAGAAATACATTTTCAGTGTTAGAAAATGTTAACTTCCGAAATGGTACTACATCCGCTCCCCCACTGCAAAGGTGGAGGGGCAGGTGAAAGTGCAAAAGTAATCAAACAAATGGAGAACAATCACCATAAAAAACCAGGTGTGCCACAATTATAAAAGGAGGCACACCTGTGGGGTATAGCACTACTTCTGGAACAGGTATGCTCTTTGCCCAGTAACGAACAAAGTAAGACACATAGGGCAGAACTTAATAGACAGGCACCATGTCATGGAACACAGATTCTGCCTGTGGATAACAGATAGTACATAAGTCATCCACATATGTAACAAACATGAGCATGTAACACAATGATAGTTGGATTTCAAGTAGGTGCCTGTAATCAGATATAAGAATGTGTGACTAGGGCTAAAGGACTGTATATGAATAGGCCAAGTGAGGTCTGCCCAAGCAAAAAACATACAGGAAAAGTGCAATGGGATAAGACAGATTATGCTAAGTGCAGTCCACCTGTGCAAAAAATATCCAGGGGAAGTGCCTTGGATATATATATTATGAAAGCCAAGTGTGATCAGCCCGGACAAAACATCCAGGGGAAGCACCTTGGCATACATCAGATATGTCAAGTGTGGTCCATCCAGGCAGAAAACATCCAGTGGAAGTGCCTTGCATAAGATTGTACTTTTCAAAGTTTGCTCATAACTGATATTGTGATCAACAAGTGCGATCAGACTGGGCAATATTTGAGGGAAACACCTTTCATAAGATCGATCATTATATATCTTGATCATAATACAATTAAAGATCAACAAGTGCAGTCCAACTAGGTAGAAAAACATCCAAGGGAAGCACCTTGTGATATGATGTAGTATGACAAGTGTGGTCCATACGGGCAGAAAACATCCAGTGGAAGCGCCTTGCATAAGATTGTTTGTTTCATATCTTGTACGCAAATTATTTAGAAATCAACAAGTGCAGTCCACCTAGGCAGAAAAACATCCAAAGGAAGCACCTTGTGATATGATGTAGTATGACAAGTGTGGTCCATACGGGCAGAAAACATCCAGTGGAAGCGCCTTGCATGAGATTGTTTGTTTCATATCTTGTACGCAAATTATTTAGAAATCAACAAGTGCAGTCCACCTAGGCAGAAAAACATTCAAGGGAAGCATCTTGTGATATGATGTAGTATGACAAGTGTGGTCCATACGGGCAGAAAACATCCAGTGGAAGCGCCTTGCAAAAACATCTGGGAGAAGCACCTTGATTTTTTATTGAGTACAGCAAGTGAGGTACATTTGGGCAGAAAACATCCAGTGGAAGTGCCTTGCATAAAAAAATAATAATTTTGTGAACAAGTGCAGTCAGCCCAAAAAAAATCTGGTAGAAGCACTTTGGATGGAGTATATTATGATATTGTATAATATTACATATAACAACGATAGCCCTCTTCTCACAGAGTGGGTACATATGACTATAAAGTTAATTTTATCGTAAAAATCCCATTCCTGAGGAAACCTCAATCGTCCACCACTCCAGCAATTGAGAACTGGAAGTAGCAAGGATCCCTGTGCTCCACTAGAAGGAGGGGGGGGGGGGGGTTCGGAGGAACGATACAATGGAGACAGTGCAATGGGCATCTGTGTTTCCATATTTTGAAAAGCAGAAAGACCATGATTGTAAAAATCACAAGTCAGTAGGGATGGGCAAAAATTCCTATCTGCTTTACTCGTGAAGTCCATGAATGACGGTTCTTTATATACAATACAGTGATAATAAAATATATCTATATCTATATATAGATATATACATGTCACTGGATAAGCAACCAGTGGTCTTACAGAAACACCCCATCTCCACAGTGAATATTATAGAAGTATACTTATTTAGTGCTAAGACATAAAATTCAGCATACCTGACCAGACAACACCTGCTGCCAGGTGGGATCCTGAAACATGAAGTATGCCAAATAACATAGCAATGAACAAACTGGACAAGGTAGATGATCCGGATCTTAACAGGAATACAAGTGGGAAAAGGAAGGTAACAAAATGGGAGAAAAGGCAAAACAACCTTCCAGAGCAGCTGATGTCCTGGGAAGGAAGGCCTGATCCAAATAGTAGATAACTTACAAAAAAGGTAAAGGATGGCATAAATATTAGAACGACGACAACTGCATGCAAGGAAGGGGAGAAATTAGGTCTTATGGGAAAAATGGTACAAGGAGCAATTTGCAACGGATTCAATGGGAGAACTGGACAGGGCATAAGAACAACATTAAGATCCAAATTCAGCAGAACAAGGGGATGTGGCAGATGGACCAGAGGAAAGGAATGGAAAAAAAGGGAAATAAATGGGGAAGAGAAGGCTTTCTGGCAGTGGGAGAATGTAAGGTGTTCAAAAGGGCAGCCATATAAAGAGCAACAACTGAAAAAGAGAAGCCCTAATCAAACAACCAGATGAAGAACTGGAACAGGTGAGGAACAGAAGGACAGGATGGTCAGAAGATATGGCAAATAAGTCAGAAGCAAGATCAATGTTTCTGGTACATAGACAAGGAGGAAGAGTGAATGGTACAAACACAAAAAGACACTACACTAGGGGCGAGTCTTTGAGCTGAGGCATGGGAATGGATAAAAGTCATATGTAAAGATAGAGTGTGGTGACACTGTGATGAAAAATGTCAATTGCAGTTGTTGGAGGAGCAATCAGGACAGAGAAAATGGCAGTGGCTGTTGCTCCAGTAAGGTCCAGAACATCTGAGACAGCCAATATGGAGCAACTAGCAGAACATAACAAGGAGTGGTCTGAATAAGGGAAAAGACCCAGAAGAGGAGTCTGATTGGAGTGTAGGCATATAGGTGAAAACCCCTCCAATCTTGGCTGAAAGCATCCACACCAACAGCTGAGGGATAGTGAACTGGAAACCAAAAAGGGAGGAAGTTTGGCAACCCACTGAATAGGAAGCACACACACATATGGTAGTGTTCCCAGTTGAGAACACATCCACAGAAATACTCAAAGATGAAGAGACCACTATGTGGAGAACCTGGTTGGGACATGATACGAGATCAGCTACAAGATTGATAACTCCAGGAACATGACACTCCAGAACTATCACATTGTGATAATTGGCCTAGTACAGAAAATCCAGGGTCTGAAAAAACAGAGATCTGGACTTATTTCCACCTTGCTTGGTGATATAGCTGACAATAGTGAAAGTGTCAGAATGAACCATAACCACCCTTCCTCACAGAAATGGGAGGAAATGATACAGAGCCTGATGAACTGCTAAAGGTTCCTGGATGTGGATATGGAGAGTAGCCTCCTTGACTGACCCCCCCCCCCAAAAAAGAAAAACCAAGGAAGCTTCTGTTACCAGGATGAGGCGGAATAGAATGGGAACCCCCATTGCGGTCAAATCTCTGTCAAGCTACCAAGCAAGGTGGAAGGGAGATGGGGTGGTCCAAGGGATTGTGGGGAAGTTCCACTGGTTAGAAAGCATTCAATGAAGGGAATACATGTGTGCCTGACCCAAGGGAATGAGAGCTTCCAAGGAAGCCCACAATCCCAAAAGAGATATAGAAACTCTTGTGCAGAGAGAGAAGGAGAAGGTAGAGCTATCGTGACTGCTTGCTCCATATCCTGGAGCCGAAGTGGAAAAGGCTGGGCTCGACTGAGTTGGGAAAAGAAGAGAACCTCCAAATGAACAAGATACTGCAAGGGGAGTAGTAAAGGACTTCTCCAACTTGATGAGAAACCTCACCTGAGCAGCTTCTAGAAGAAATAAATGAGTATGAGTGACTGACTGTGCACAGGAAGAGGCAAGTAGAAGCCAGTCATCTATGTAATGAAGAGTCCGAAGGCCCAGCGATAGAAGATAATGTGCAAAAAAAATGTATCATTCAACAAAACACATATGGAGCTGAAGAAAGACAGAACCCTCAATGACAAACTGAAGAAAAATTAAGTGACACTGGGGCAAAAAAAAACAACTGCAGTGAGAGGTAGGACTCCATGGAAGTGAGGTGTCTCCATATAAGTATACAGCTAGGACAGATCTATGATGGGATTCCAAACTCTCATATTTTTGGAGACAAAAGAAAGATGAGAGTAAAATCTAGGTTGAGTGGGCACCACTTGTTCGATAACTCCTTTGTGTAGTAGGTCTCAAACAGACTGGGCAAGACAACTGAACAGGGTATGATCCTGAAAAGAAGAGAAGGAGATTTGGAAAGTGGATAGAAGTGGAGTGAAACAGAAGGCAGAAACCCTCAGATAGAACCATTATAAACCACGAAACTGTCATGAACTGTAGCCAAAAAGACACATAATCTAAACAACTTAGACAAAGTACTTACTAATAAAAAACTGACAAAACTTAGAAACGTATAGAATCTAGAAAGTATATAAAATTAACAAACCTGCAAAATTATGAAATTTGCCTTAAAACATAAAACAATAAGTAACAACTAAAGTACAAAATCACTAGAGGAACTTAGAAGATAAACAACCCTTAAATATCAAACTTATAATTCCACTCAAAAAATCTAAAAGACAAAGCATACGAAAATAAAACACTAGTTAACAATACCAAAATTTGACTCAAAACCAATCCCTAATGAGACATGAGACGTAAAGAAAAAGGAACTTACATACTAAATAACATTAACAGTGAAAAGAAGTAAAAAGTTAAACAATACGTAACCCAGCAGATTACAAGAAGGCATGATATCAGGTGGAAAGTGCTGTAGAAAGAAACTTTCCACATAGTAATTCCATCCCTTGGCACAAAAAACATAACTTGAAAGCAAGAAATCTCCAGCCCTACCTAAGACAAGAACTCCCCATGAACTAAAGCCTGTGTTTCCCCAGCAAACATTGTCGAACCTGAGACCTGGGAACTAGTGTCTAAACCATTGTATACTTATAGCAGGAATTTTATCATCTGCCATATTAAATCTGGAATTCATATGAACAAAGTATAATTTGGAAAACAAACATTTCAAAAACGAATGAGTAGAAACAATGAAAATCAAACACAAGAAGTTGAAACTGATATAAATTTGTGATCAAGCACAATCAAAATTTTGTAGTCACATGGAGAATGAGTTAAAACACATGTCTATATACACGAATGCCAATCGAAAAAGTGAGGATTGTGTTGCTATGGTAAAGGGAGTTACCTGCACTAGTATAGATGGCGCAGTATAATTGGTGGAGGGTAGTCACACAATCAGCACAAGTTGCTACAACGGTGTAAAAATGAAGGGGTATAATAGACTGGTGCACAGTTGAACATTTTAGCAATGCTTAGAGGGCAAATCAAGGTTGAGATAGCTGTGAGAGAGGAGGTGTTATCTCTAAAAGTACTGTCAATCAAATCATGAAGAGTAAAGAAAGTAATGATATGCAGCCAACAACATATTCAAATATATTTTGTTTCAAAATGTGAATGCAGATTCAATATTGTAAGGTTATATAAGCACAAAATACTGTCTTTGAGAACACGACTTATAGTTATCATGAAAATATTCTGAAAGACTACTAAACTTGGAAAAATTGAAACCTAAGAAGTAGATTGTATAAGGAAAACTGGATTGCTTTAGTAATTATAATATATCAGGACAAAAAACAACAACAAAGGTCAAGTAGGACAGGATCGTCAAGATTAATGCAATTGAAAGGAACATTTACAAACCCAGATCCTCAGCAGTGGAAGAATGAAGCCAAGCAAAACAAACTTTTCATTTAATAAAAAACCAACACGAAACAAAAGTTCCACAACTTTATCATTGACCCTATACACTGCTTGGCAAAGTCACAGTGCTTTTTTACCTTTCACACGGCTAATTAGGATTGATTCTCCCATTGTACTTACTTTTATGTTTTTTGAACAGAAGCAAAAAACTTTGCTTAGATTATTGTCATCCTTCTTCAGCCATGACTTTTACTTATCTTTACCTGGCTGTTTATAGCTGAAAACACATCTTCCATGTATAGTGATCAGCTACTGTGTCAAGTAACTCAAATGAACAATGAAAATGATGTAAAGCAAAAAACAAAGTATGCAATGCCTTTCAAATCAACAGATCATGACAAAATCTGGTTTACTTAATGTTTTAGATGAAGATTTAATATTGCTAAAATATGTATAAAGTAAAATGATCTAAATTTTAATAGATCCTAATTTCTGTTGATTTACAGGGTTTTCAAAGCCCAGGAGACATTTTGACAAAATTCAAGGTTGTTATTGCTCTGAAATTACAATTCAATAATTTTCAAGGTATGTGTAAACTCTATACTTAGCAAACAAACACAGAATCAAAAGCTAAACAAATAATGATTCTGAAAATGTCTAAGGGTTGTTAAATCATGTAAGGTTAAATTATGGTGCATTAAAGAAAAACAAAGAAGCTCACATATGCAAGAAAAATAAAGCCTAAAACTTATGATACAGTCAACAATCCCAATGAAGTTAACAACAAAAGTTACTTCAAGCCAATGGAAAAAGTAAATCTAGAACAATTTTACATAGACACAAGCAAACTTTAAAAAGAATATGACTGGTCTCCTTGAATAAACATAATGACATTCTAAAAACAACGGTGGAGTAAATCTGTTTGTAAAAGTCATGCCATTAGAAAGAAACTCATCATATAAGATGAAATTAATATGATGTAATTGATGGTGATTGGCCTAGAAATTTTAGCAACAGAGGCCTATAGTCACATAAGAGACCACATTGATGTTCTCATAGTGTGTGAATAAAATAAAAGTAATAAAAGTTTCAATTTGTAGCAAAACCAAATGCATGAACTAAATCATAGAAGATTAAAATATCATATTTCAATATGTCTACTTACTGAGCATTAGTTTTTTTATTCTGGTTACAAATTGATAAGAATTAGCTGTTGATTTAATATTATCTTCTAAAATGAAATTAGATGTAATTACAAATTTACAGGAAAAGTAGATATATATTTCATATAAATTGATTATTTTTCATTTAAAAAAAATGTTATATACAAACTGACTAGACAAACGTTACAAAAGGTTTGGCTTTTAGTAAACAACCAAAATGGCTTCTCATGTTTATTTTAAATCTAATTAAAAAGGGGATAATTATATAGTACCCACATACATCTCCATGACATCAAAGAAAATTGAAGATTAAATAACTTACCTCTGTTGTCATAATCAAACAGCTAGCTGAAGGGTTTATTGTAACATCACCAGTCATTAAACCAACATCTTTGAACTCCTCATAAAATTCTCTGTACTTTTGATTACTCAGGGCTTTAATTGGAGTCGTATAAATCACACGCTGTTTGTTTTGCAGTGACATAGCAATGGAATATCTAAGTAGACAAATATATAAAGATTATAACTTACCATCAGAGATCATTTAGATGCTTCATTTATAAAACTTTTTCCTTTTTTTATATAAGTGCACATACTTGTTGATAGCAAAACTAACAAATCATTATATATACAAAGTCATCTTAGTAACATTATACAAGTCAGCAGACTAAGAATTTATACTTAAACCCAAATCATATATGTGGACTTTCTCAACATTTCAGTAACATATTAAAGGCACAAATACTTTGTTTACACTTAGGATAACTAATACCTGAAAGTTATATCAGAAATGTACATTGTAAACTTTCTCAGGAATCTTTTATCTTAACACACAAAAACAGGTTAATTTAATTAAAATAATTTAAAAAAAAACATTAAAACAGTTTTATTAAAAACAACTACCCAGACAGCTCTGAACAAACAAAACAAAGTCTTTTACCTAGTTTGTTAACTTCAGTAGTAGGTTATTTATTCTTCTGTGACACACATTTGACACACAATACTTTATGACATTTACAATATTTCTAATATATTTAATTATTAATCACAATTATATTTTTATGGATATGTAATTTAATTGAAGGTACTCTATAGAAAAGGTTTAAAACAATAAAAAAGCTCAAATAAATATTAATAATAATTATTTTTATCAGTTATCCAAGAGCAATACGATCAGAAAAAAGTAAGTTTTTAGTCTACTTGTCAGTCATCCTGTGAGTCAAGAAAAGAGATGCTTCTGCTCTAATTGTAAGTTTTCAATCAACTTATTCTTTTAATTTACATAGGAAAGCTACATTTCAATAGCTATCATTATATTTAGACATATCAGTATGACAACATAAAATGTTGCAAGTAAAAAACAAAAGAAAACTTCAATATTTTTTATAATGGGAATAAAGTCAAATTGAAACAAATTGTGAGGCAATATCCTAAAGTTAGTACTGTCATATGGACTGATAAAGAAATCAGGTGTCCAATTTTCAGTACAGACACTCCTCACTCATTTAAAAGCTTACAAACAATGACAAATACATTGCCTTCTTTAGTACAAAATTTTCCAAAAATTATAGTGGGTAGCTGTATCAGATATGATGTGATGGGATACATATGACTCATTACTTCAGAAAAAGAATAACAAAAAATTATCTTAAAATCTGGTTAAATCTCAACCAGTACAATTATATTCAGAATATCAAATATATGATATTTTTACACGTTAAATTATGGTTTGTAATTATAACCACATAAAACTAAATATGTAACCTATGTATGTGAAAAATTCATACATTTATACAAAATGGCATCAGGTTCCACTATGAGCTATGCATGGGCATGGTATATCATACGTGGCAGCACTGGAACCATAAATGTTGTGATTTTGATATTGTTACGATAAATAGGAACATGACTAAAGTTTCATTTTGTTTTCCTTGGCATTCTCCCTACAGACTGTTTGGTATTGTCAGCTTTTTTTTTTGCTTTAATCTGGCAAGTTTTGACTTGCTCAGACAAATGTCTGTCAAACCTTCCAACCTAAGAATTTACTAGATTCATTATATAAACATCTTAATCTAAACACATATGATGCTCTGACTATTACTTGAACTACATATCACAACCATCCAAGATTAAATCTGAGACAAGGTGATTTCTTCTATTCATATATTTGAAACAAACACTTACTCAGCAACTACAGTCTTCCCTGCTGAAGTGTGAGCTGAAACTAGCACAGACTGGTTATTTTCAAGGCAAAGGATAGCCTCCTTCTGGAAGGGGTCAAGAATAAAAGAATATTCCTTCACTGGTTTACCTGAAAATGTTCTCAGTGGTACATATTCTAAATCTGGAGGTACAGCTACCTGTTTTGAAAAATACATCAGCATATTAAAGGTTAAACACTTAATATTCAACATATATTTCTATAGTTAGTGTTTTAATATGACTGTCAATTATTTCAACTTTGATAGACTTCTATAATCTATAAAGACTTTTTCTTATAATTCTCAGGATTAAACACGACTTCTCACACATTAGGCAAGTGCTCCAACAAATTAGTTATAACAACTTGCAAGTACTTTTAACTATTTCAGCAAATGCTCTTTAACTCTTTCAGCATGAGCTCAGTCCCTTGGACTGACCTCGTAACCATTTTGTGCTTGTTGTAGTTTTCATGCTATAACTTTTAAATTAGTAAGCGTATGTTAACAAAATTTGGTAGATTATCGGTAAACATTAAAATGGTTTCATATGCAAAATATAATTTGTTTTATTTAGTCTTAAGATTTGTTAAGCAATGTTTTTCTGATGCTTTTTTTTTCTCTTTGCATGTTGCCTATCCAACCTGCAAAGTAATTTTCATTTTAAGATTAGAAATACATTTATGCATCAGAAAATTCTCAAATTTCACATGCACAATTTTTATGATGTCCAGATAGTTATCAAATGTTTCTTAAAAAAAAAAAAATTATATTTTATCTGTTATTTTAACAAACAAATCTCTGTATGGTTCAGTAGATTTGACCAATCTTGTAACCACCATAAATAATTAGGAAATAAATATAAATTATGTCTCTTTCATTCTAGAATGGCAACAAATTATAACACAAAAACATAAATGTTTAGACTAAACAGCTTAAATGTTATAACATTATACATTTATATACACCTGGAAAAAAGTTAAGCACCCCCGTGTTTTTTTCAAGTGATTCAGATTCACGTTCTTGTGACTGATTATAAATTACCATTCAATCTAAACGTGTTTATCAAATGAAATTATGCATTATTGGGCACAAGAAAACAAGATTATCACCGTAAAA